GAATCACCCAAGGTCAATAATATGGAAAATCACCTCCAGAATCTGACAGTTTTGATCTAGCTTACCTTTCTCTCTTAGCAAATATGATGGCTTTAATGGGATCTTAGAAAATTAGCATTGGAGAGAACCTGGGCCTCATCTGGCACCATATTCTCATTTCCCAAAGAAACTGAGACAAACTAAGGCAAAACAACCCCTGATCTCTCCAGCAAACCGCTAGGGCTTTGGTTTGAGTGAAGTACTTTGGTTCATGAAGAGTAATTAATAATTACAGAAAACAGGGAGAAACAAGCACTACAAAAATATAATCTTCTACAAAAATCATAAAATAGTCCAAGTATATGTTTTCATATATGGCCTTCTTAAAAATATCAAAGTCATAACAATATAACGCCTTTACCCAATAGTACGTCTCTGAATTATCTAGCAGGAATATAAATATTTCCCCTGCCTCTCTCTATAATGATAGAATAGCAAAACAGTAATAAGCTCAGACAGTGCTGATAGAAATCATTTAACTGATAAAGAAATGAGAAAGGAGGGGAAGAATTTGAAAACAGCTCTTTAATTTTGTTTGAAGGCATTTTCCTTACGAAAATTAGTATTTCTCCAGAGTGGAATAATTTCCTATTTAAAGCTTCAGTTGACTTGGCCTGATTATAATGTGAAAGAGATTCAGACTGCTTATTGAAGGGGATTGCACAGAACCAAATCCAAACAAAGCAGAATTCCCTTCGAATTGTTCCATCCAATTTCCTTGGTCCAGATGGCTTCAATCGCCAGCCAGAGACTCCACCCACACCTACCCACTCCCGCTGTGCACTGGCCCTGGACACATACTAATGACCCTCAGCTGTTCTGGCTCCCAGACTCACTTTCTCTTCCTGCCTGGCCACCCAACCTCCTATCTCCTAGGAGGAAGGAAAGAGGGAAAGGGAGACACTTAGGAAAAAAAGTCATACCTTTGGGTAAATAAGATTTATATTAGTGAATCAGTTTCTTATTGCTGCTGTAACAAATTACCCCACACATAATGGCTTAAAACAACACACACTTATATTTTGGAGGTCAGAAATCCAACATTGTCTTAGGGAGCTAAACTCATGATGTCAACGGGGCAGCATTCCTTCTAAAGGTTCTAGGGGAAAATGTGTTCCTTCCCTTTACTAGCTTCTGGATGCTGCAGACATTCCTTGGCTCATGGTCACCTCATCCTGATCTCTGCTTCTGTCATTACATCTCCTCCTCTGACTCTGATGCTCCTGCCTCCCTCCTACAAGGATCCTTGTGATTTTACCGGGCCACTCAGATAAATTTCTGCAGGATAATTTCTGCATCTCAAGATCCTTGATTTCATCATATATGCAAAGTTCCTAATCTAACATATTCACAGGTCTTAAGATTAGGAGGTGGACATTATTCTCTTTGTTCTTTCTCTCACATCAGATATTGCCTAATATCATCTAACATCCAATATCAGGTACTACAAAGCTATACCTATGTTAATACATAAAATCATATACGCACACAAACATATGCATGTACTGAATAGGATGAGATAACAAGTGTATTATACCTGAAATAAAAGTCACAGAGTAATATCCAAGATTATTGTATCAGGCTTATTACAACTAATTTCCAGTACTTTGTTTATGGCAAAATATTTAAAAAAAAAAAAGCACACTAGAGCTGATGGCCTGTGAAGGGCTTGCTCACCACTCACCTCCATATACTGCCCAGGGCTTTTCACCACTAAAAAAAGACCAAAGCCTAAATAATTTAGTAGTGCTGTCAGTGGAGCTCTGTATCATTACCAGGTGCCAGGAGCTCTGTATCATTACCATGGCAGCATGTCACGTGTGTTTGCCTTGGAGTGAGACCAGCACCAAAGCTGCCAGCAATAGACAGAGTAGGTCCCAGGAAAGGTAGGGGTCTTCAGACAGAGAAGGGGTCACATTTATAAAACGCCTCCCACCCAGAGTGATTAGGGGAGAACTCACACAGGGTCTCTGGCAGTATCTTCAGTGGGACTAAGGAGGTGCAGTGAGAGAATGCAGCCAAGTCACATGACACTTTTAAGTTAAAGTGAGAAAAGGATGGGATAGAAGGAACCACAAGGAAAATGTTGGCAGGTAACAAGAGTTAAGGATAAAGGCAAAGAGGAGATGTTAGTTTAGAACCTATTTGTTTCATTCAATTCAAATAGAAGCAATCTGATGATAAATTTTTCATCTTCTTTCCTGCAAATCACCACCTGGCCACTTCTGTACTTATCAGCTTGGCCTTCTACCCCACATAAAGGTTCAACTGTCCATACTATACCAACACCTTCCCACCTACCTAAGGATTTTCTTCCTGCAAATATCCCTTATCTCCCAAATCATTGATTTTTTTTCCCTTCTGCTCATTTTCATCATCATAAAACCATGTTATAACACCTCCCATCTTTTAAAAGACCCTCCTTTTATCCCACAAACTAACCATGCAACTGCTCTATTTATCTGATCCTCATTCTACTCCTTAGAAAAAGCTTCCATATTCAATCATCACTTTATCTCACACCGTCTCTTGAACCCATTTCAAGCCAACTTTTGTACCCACCCACCATAAACCCCATTTGTCAAGGGCCTCAATACTGCCATATAGTAAATCTGGTGGTCTAGGCATAGAGCTCATTTTTCTCAGCATCTTAGCAACAATGACACAACTGAGCACTCCCTTCTCAAAATGCTTTCTTCACCAGGCTCCTGGATGAAACCCTCTCCTGGTTTTCCTCCTACTTTACCTGGTCTTTCTTTCCCAATTTCCTTGGCTGCATCCTCATCCTCTTTTTCCTCTGAAGACAGCCTGAGATTCAGTCCATTGCCCCCTTCCCTTCTCCACTTATCTGTGATTACTCTCTAAATGATCTCATCCACTCTGGTGGCTTTAGATAGGTCAATCTACATGCCAAGGAGTCCAAACTGTGTATTTTCATTCTCAAATATATTCTTGAACTCAAGATTCCTCTCTCCAGCATCCTAGGAGACACGAGGAGCATCCCAGAAGACAACAAGGCATCCTCCCCCACTGCTGTCCAGCTCAGTAAGCTGTTCACACAGAGATCCTCTGAGTTTTCCCTGACTCTCTCTCTCATGCCCCACATCTAATTTGACACACTCCTGGCCAGCTTTACATTAAAAAATAATCCAGAATACGACCACTTATCTTCCCTTTCACCACATTGCTCTAGTCCAAGACACTTTTACTTCTCCCTTAGAACTGTGAAATATCCTGCTTCCACTCTTGCCCTACATATTCTACTCTCCACCTGATATTTATATGTATCTTTCTAAAACATAATCCAGGTCAAGTCACTTCCTATCCCAAAATTCCCAAAAGCATTGCCATCACATGTAGAATGTATTCAGGGGGGTCTGTAGAGCAGTGTTGCCCCAATCACCCAGCAGCTCCTCAGCTCTCCACAGCTTCGTTTGGTCACCATCTTGTGCCCTCTTCAGACTCCCTTCTTTGACAGTCTCTCTCTAGAGAGGTTCACCTGTATATTTAACACTTTTCCCACACAACATTGGCATAAAAGGCTGCAATACATCACTACTTCTTCAAAAGTTGGCTGTATTTTTGTATTAAGTTTGTCAGCAAACCTCTCTCAGGGACTAACAAGCTCCTGTAGAGTGATGGTTGGGGTACTGATGGTTTAACCATTAGGCTGTGGTTCCTTCATTCCTTAAACATTACTGACTCACAATACAAACCTTTCCATCTTTCATGGCAAGAGGTTAATGTCTCATGATAAAGAAAATCCCTTAGGGGCGCCTGGGTGCTTCAGTCGGTTAAGCATCCACTCTTGATTTCGGCTCAGGTCATGATCCCAGGGTTGTGAGATCAAGCCCTGCGTCGGGTTCCACACTGGGCATGGAGCCTATTTAAGATACTCTCCTTCTCTGCCCCTCCCCATTTTCCCTCTTAAAAAAAAAAAGACTCTTAGGAGATACTTTTTTGGTGACAATTATTTAACATTTAAAGGCAAATTCCTAATGTTTATTTACTGTTATACACATGTTGAGAGCTGAACTACCTGAAAATATTTGCCTAGAATGCCTTCAAGTAGATTTGCTTTATGTTTCCTTAATTCAAAAATGTTCCTAAAGTTCTCTTGAAACTTAGAGGATATTAGTTTTTTCAGATTATAAGTATATTCCAGTGCATATATGTCCTTAGGAAATATCTCTTTTAAAAAGATTTTTTTTGAAAACTTTCATAGACAAAAAGGGAAAAGATAAAAGATTTCTGAACCTAGCTATTCATCAATACTCACTGGACAACTTCTTAAATGTAACAAAGATGTATGCAATTTTGGAGTAACTCGACTATTAAGTGACTAGAACGTTGATTCTATTGACCAAGCCAGGCTTAATGTTCTCTTCTGCTTAACTAAACTTCAGACAGACTTCTTCCTGATTCTAAGCCCCTGATCTCCCTTTTCTTAGAGCATTCACTCCAGAAAATTTGTAATTATAAATTCTTTCTCTGACCCTTTGAGTGGCAAACCTTTTTAAAAGCTTCTTGTCAGTTTTACAACTAGCAAGGAATGTCTTTCTCAAGGACCTAGGAGCCGTCCCTTTGAAATACAATCATCCAGAAAGATAAGTACCCAGATCTTCCAGTCTCTGTGGGATGGTAGTACCCTAACTTTGGTGAGTGCCAATTAGCAAAGACAGATGGCCTAATCACAGAGGAAAATGTGCCAAACTCAGGATAACTCAATTTGCTCCATCCCACTGATCAACAGCCTAAAGTCCTCCAGTACTTTTCCACTAGCTCACGCCAGTACCCAAGAACCCTCCATTTCTTTGTTTCAGTGAGTGGAGTTCAATCTCTCCCTATTAGAGTAGTCTTAAGTCTCCCTTTCCTGTTTAACTTAGCCCAGTGCAATTTCTACTTTGACACCATAATCCCAGTACTGGAGATGACTAAGCTTTCAGTACTCACAGGCTTACCATCTTGACCAGATTGTCCAGGGTAGCCAGGGTTCCCAGGCTGTCCAGGTTCACCCTAGAAAGGAAAAAAAAAAAAATTCTCAGTCCAAAACCACCACCCACACTGCTGCTGTCAGAGCCCTTCAAGGTTCAAGCTAATTCCATGATTTGTAGCTCTTTGTATATTTAAGAAGAAGAAAGAAGAAAGGAGGAGGAAGAAGGAAGAAGAACACAACAACAGACATCCCAAAATAGGGTTACAAAAGTAATGGCATATTTTAAATGCCCACTTTACCAAATAAAGTCTTTTTATTATATAAAATTTTCAATGATTTATTTCTGTGAGCACACCAGGTATAACAAGTAAAGTACTCTTCACCAATGTAAAATGTCAATATTAATGTCAGGATACATTTTTAGAATTCTGAACTGAAGTGTTGTAGCAAATATGGTCTCAATGCCAGCCATTTTTCTCTCATAATTCTCTTCTATTTAGACTTAATTCTATTCTCAACATTACACAACAGATATCAATGACCTATGATGTAATAATTCAATTTGCAATTATTTATTTAAAAAAAAAGTCCACAGGCTATATGATCTTATACACAGGACTCAAGTTTAAAGCTGCATGACAGTCATTTCTTTTATTCTAGTTGATGTGTCTCTTTGCCTATATTTATAACTTTATTTAACATAATGTTAAAATTTTTAAATCTGAGTATTTATATGAGAGCGAGGCCCAAGCCAGACAACTCTGCCCAACCCCCATAGTCCTTGAACACAGGGACTAAGAAATGAAGAAATGACCTTTGCAAACCCCCCCCCAAACCAAGGATGTCCAAAGAACATTAAACCATACAATACGACAATTAGCCCAGGCACATTCTATGAAACTCTAGTATGTTGCCCAATGGCCAATACTGACCGTTCAGATAGTCACCACCCATGAAAAAAGGCAATGAAAGCAACATTTTTTGTGAGGTGAGGGTGTTGTATAATTTAATTCTAAAAAATACTTCAAAATTACTATCATATTAATCTATTGCTGAATCCATGAGATCCACATGGGGCATCTTGCTTAAAAACATGAAGTCTCAGCCATCAGTACCAGTAAACTTCTGCAGAGAGGCAAGGCAGCTGATTTCAGTCAAGTCATTATTTACATTAAGAACTCATTCACACAGGACCCCAAAAATTATAAATTAACTAAACACCAATACTAAGGGTACTTTCACAGAGCCAGATTTGAAGATCTGAAATACTACTTCAGGCTACTGGCCACGGAGAGTTGTTCCTGAAACATAACAGGAAAAATGGAAAGAACTATGTTAACTCTATTAAGTGGCCAATGAAGGGGGGTTGGGCTTTTCACTTAGGAGCTGCCCAAGAGACAAAGCATGGGGAAGGGCTGAGAAGAAAGGAAATGTTATTTTTAAAAGAAATAGAGAAAGAACAGTGTAAATCCAGGGAGAAAAATAATGCTGAAACATGTCCTGTCTTGCTGAAGAAACAGAATTTATAGTTCTAACCCAAGGACTTCCAGTGTTAGCTGGGCATTAAGGAGTAACATTCTGGTTCTCTAGGGAGTTGGAGTTTTTCTCTTATTTTGAGAGGATCCACCTTAATCTCTAGCCTCTCTGCCATCCTTTATCCCTGTTCAAATTGGACTCTATCTTTTTTTTTAAAAGATTTTATTTATTTATTTGGCAGAGAGAGACACAGCGAGAGAGGGAACACAAGCAGGGGGAGTGGGAGAGGGAGAAGCAGGCTTCCCACGGAGCAGGGAGCCCGATGCGGGGCTCGATCCCAGGACCCTGGGATCCTGACCTGAGCCAAAGGCAGGTGCTTAATGACTGAGCCACCCAGGCACTTGCTATCTTTCAACAAATTCCATCTTTTCTTCTCCTGACCCAAGTTTTTCTTCCTTTTCCACTTAAGAATCCATTATTTCTTTTTTCCTTGAAGTCTTTTTCTATTGAAATGCTATAGCAGCTCCTATCACTGATCCCTTATTCATAAGCAGAGTTTTCTCAGTTTTCCCTTGATTAGTCTTAATTTATCATTTGGATTGAAACTTCTTGAGAACAGTGTCTTTATTTTCCCCCTTTTTTGAGGGGGTGGGGAGGGTTGACAATGCTGCGTATCAAGTAGGGATTCAATAACTATTTGTGGATTGATTTATTTTAAATCATATTTCCTGTTAATGACCCCCTTTACTTGCAGAGTATTATTATCAGCAAAATCTAGTATATCAAAAGGATCTGAGAGGGTTTATCATCTACTGTGATGAAGCTGGAATACAGCTTTGGTAAAAGAAGAAATGAAATTTGTGTTTTAACACTAAGTTTCCAAAACAAAAAAAACAAAAACAAAAAAAATCACTCACAAGATAAATCCAATGTGACTTCAAAAGGACCATAACATTGGTGAACAGCCCCAAGAGGGAAAATAATCTCTTTTGCAGGTTCTATTATTGCTGGTAGGTTTTACCGGTTATTCTATTGCCCTATTGATTTATTTGCAAAAACTGAGGAAGGTTTGGTGTTGTTTCCATAAAATTGGGAAAATACAGACAGACACGACCAATCAGAATAAAAATTCAATTGTATTACTGTAATAAAAGTCAATGCTCTACCTTGATTTACATATGCTAAATTACTTAATCCTCATAATAAACCCATGAAGCAAGCAATTTTATTATTCTCATTTTTTATATACACAAACTGAGGCCCCAGAAGGTTAAGTCACTTGTTCAAGGTCACACCGCAGTAGTGGAGATGACACTTGGACTCAGCCAGTTCAGCTCCAGAGTCCATGCTCCTAAACACTACTATCCCTGCCCACATTAAAATGCATATGCTGATTAGAACCAGACCTGGGGACTGTTAGCAAACTTAATACAGAAAACAATTTCCAAATACATTAAATGAGACATAGGACCTATTATTGTACAATTGTGACTAAATTCCCAATCCACTTTCTTCTAATTTAGCTGAAACATTTGCACATTTTGAATTTTAAAAACTATGTGTTCAGCTGAAAAGCAGTACTTACATATGTTGAATTGAACTTGTGCCACAGGATTTTTGAGTTGTTGACAGGAGTGGAAATGTCACGGATGAAGCTGAAACATCTCTGAATGTGGCCTCTCAAGTAGTGTAAATATGAATAATCAAAGTAAGAAACAATTGTGCTTGCAAAAGCAAGATACTATTTTCCGTTGCTCATCTAAAACAAATGTCTTTGGAACTCTTCACCAAGGCGCAAATAGCATGTGTTCAAGCCTTCTTCTCAAAACTCCTTGTGCCTTCATTCTACCCTCCAGACTCTGCAGGAGTATCTGACCTAAGACCTATTCCCTTTTCCTAAACCAACCTCTTCCCTCCCTCAAAACTCAAACACCCACTCTTTCAGGCTAGAAGGAATCCACTTAGTCTGGGAAAATTAACATAAAAATGTGAATGCCCAGTGGCCCCTGAAATTTTCCAAAGGCTTTTGTATTTTAAACAGAGGATACTTTGATAGCCTGAATGAATCTCTAATGGTGGTATCTGGAGGGTGAAACAAAGGAAATCAACAGAGATACAGTGATAGAGAGGGTGGTATTTCAGAGAAAAGGATTCATAAGAAATTGTTCCTTCCTAAAAAGAAGAAAAAACGCCTTCTTTCCACTTCAGAAACAATAGATCGAACATCAAGTTTAGATCAAATGTGGGGAGTTTGTCCCCAGAAATGTTCCTACTACTGAAGTGGGGGAAGAAGTTGCCATTCACATGCAAAGGTCCTTTGAAAGGGGGGTTTGTAAATTGGGGATTGCCTGGATCTTTCGTATCACAACAAGGCATCCCATATCGGTTAACTGGGAAAAGGGGTGAATCAATGATTTTATAATTCATTAAATAAAAAATTATTACCATTAAGCACTGTGTTAGATATTGGAATTCCAAAGGAGAATTTAGTTTGTATTAAACTTCATTGTGAGCTGCCTGCATATATAAAGTATTCCAACAGATTTATTAATTTAATCACTCCCTATGTTTGATATTAGGGATACAAAATGAATTAGCTATTCTTCAAGGAACTCATAATCCAGTAATATATATATTTCTATGCTTATTGTAGAGTTATAATGCCATGGTAAGTCTAGGTATAGGAAACCATAGTTATTTTGACCTGTCTTTCCAATAGGGTTGTCATATCTTTTGGAAACTCAAAGAATTTTAAACAGATGAGTTTATCTTTAAATAAGCACTGACCCACCTATCCACACAGCAATTTCTCCTGTTTCAGTCTGAGGACTCAACTCTCAGCTCCCAGAACTCTATTTCTGGTTAACAGGAAGACGAGATCTGTTCTTCACAGGTAATTTTGTTTGGTGGACATCTGTAAAACTTTCCAGAGAGCATCTAACAAAAATGGCCAATAAGTTTCAGCTGGATCTATAGGAAAATGTCTTCATCTATTTTAGTTCCAGTTCTGCTAATCTAATTAAAACCCTGTTAATTCCCCAAGCCAGAAATTCTCTAAAGAAAATACAACTCAGAGTGTTGCTAGGGATTCTGTTTTTCACATACAGGTCCCTGATGTGGGTAAAGAACCACTTCCAGGGGAAAGAGCCCTAAAGGGATGGAAGAGAGAGAGAGAGAGAGAGAGAGAGAGTGTGTGTGTGTGTGTTCCTGTCCTCCAGCCAGATTTTCTGAAGAAAATGGAAAGCAGATCAAGACGGCACGCCAATTTAAAGATTGGTGGAAAACTGCAATTTCACTTAAAGTAGTAGGTGGCAATAGCATGAGATTATGACTAAGAAAAAAAATGAAAATGAAAATGAGGAACACATGAAACTTGGAAATACTCGATATCAGAGGCTTGACCAGAGAAGACAAAGGCCGTGCTAAGAATCTGCTGTAGGAACATACATGAATAAAAATTGATGTCACTTCAAGACACCTAATAGACCACTAGTAAAAATTCAGAAAACATCAGATATATCTGATGCCTCCCCAAAAGTGAACAGTCTTTTAGAGATCCTGGGGGTGGCCTGAACCTCCCCGGGAGTCAGAAAAGCATGCGGGGCTTTGAGAGGTCAGACATTATGTGCACCTGATTTCCATATTATATCTCTTACAGATCAAATCATTTTTATGCATAATATTCCAAGTGGAATAAACTATATGTGTGTGTGTGTGTGTATAGATGTGTGTAGATATATGTGTATATAAATATATACTTTTTAAAAAGAAGTCTGCTGGTAGATCACACCAAGTTGTCTTACAAGGTGTATTCTCCCAAGAGTATCCTATAGGCATTTCTTCTTTATGTCAAGGCACCCTAAATAACATGCAGTTGCTTTCACTAGAGAACAAAGAACACCTGGATTAACTTACCTAAATGCAATCTAAAAATAGTTTATAATAGTAAATTGATTTTAATATACTGATTTCAAATTCCCAGCCAAATAGATTTACTTTGAATGAAATAATGAATATATATTATTTCTTAAATTACATTTCTTTTATTGATTTTAATGCGAGTCCTGAAGTAGGTCATGAGCTATCACATAAAAATGTGATGAGCATGTTATATGCAACTGATGAATCATTGAATGCTACATCAGCAACTACTGATGTACTATATGTTGGCTAATTGAATTTAAATAAAAAAAATGGATGGGAGAAACATGCATGAAAGATGGGAGGAAACAAATTACCTTAGATGAGCAGTTTAAAAGCTAAATTTTTCAGTCATGGTGACTGAAACACTAGGGAAATTCCATCTAAATGAACATTACAATTCATATTTAACAAAAATTAGTAATTATTGCTTCGGCATCTCAAGCAATAAATGATCAATACATAAAACAATCTTTTTGGCTAGAGAGTCATATCTGCTTCCAAGTTAGACATTATTTTTATCTGAGTGATATTTTAAAATATTAAATGAATAAGATTTAGGGGCGCCTGGGTGGCTCAGTCAGTTAAGTGAACAACTCTTGATTTTGGCTCAGGTCATGATCTCAGGGTCATGAGATCAAGCCCCCTGTCAGGCTGAGTACTTGGCAAGGAGCCTGCTTAAGATTCTCACTCTCTTTCAGCCACCCCCCCCCCACTTATTCAAGCTCTAAAATAAATAAATAAATCCTAAAAAAAAAAGATGAGCAAGATTTATGTATAGTAGACAAACCACTTAATATCTCAGTATCAAACTGGGTCTAAGTGATCCCACAGGAAGTATCAACTTAAAAACAGTCATTCATACTTAATAGCATAGAAACATATTCAGACTATTTAGTTATACAAAAAGTAACTAGTTATAAAATGGCATGTACATCATGGCTCCAATCATATAAAAATGTATACACAATTATGTAAATGTTTATATACACAAACTCTATACACATAAATTAATAGATACAAGTGGAACATGTGCATATATGAACATGACTAACAGAACATACTCCCTAAAAGTAATTATTACATGATTAAGTAAAATTGATATATATGCCTCTATTTTTAGAATTAGACACCAAACATAACACTGAAATCAACTTTAATATTTCTACTTTATTTTTCTATCTGAAAATCATTTTGACAAACTAAGGATTTAGAAACATATCTCAACAAATGCCATTTCTTCATTTTTTTATGAGGTTGTAAGGAGGTATCATTTTGGGAATTTGGCAGCAGTGTTTGGGAAAAAAAGACAAACCAGCAAATAAATTAAAAGCACTCCCCTCCCTCACTTTACTCTGGGCCAAGGGTATCAGTTCTAGGTTCAAACGCAAGTATAGATTGGAATACACTTTTTTAAAAAAAATCACTAAAACTAAGGTTTTAGACTGTTCTAAGGCATTACGTAGAAATTTCACAATAGCATCAGTGGTGACTAGGAATTTTGTGCATTTGCTCGGCTGTTTGTGTGTTTTAACCAAAAAAAAAAAAAAAGTTAGGTATTACTCACTTTGGGGCCTTGCAGTCCTGGTTTTCCTGGAGGACAAACACAGGGAGCTGGAGTTGAACCTACATCACTGGGACCATTGAGGCACTAGAGAGACAAAAACGGCAATCAACAACAAACATGGAAAGACACATGTATATCTATATGTACATAAGTATGTGTAGGTGTCTGAATGTCTTTATGAAACTGTAAAGATATCTTACATCTGCTTTCCAATTTTGTTTAGCACAATCCATTAAGAAATTCTGAATCACAAACTATGAAAACTAAATGCACTCAAACTACATAAAAATGAGTTCTATTGGTCTAATGTACTTACAGTTGATGGAAGGAAGCTAAACAGTCCCACAATACAAATATTACCTTAAGGAGAATAATAGTTTCCAGGCCTACCTCACCATTCTGAAAGAAAAACAACAATGAATGTGTTTTAAAGGACACTTTTAAATTTCTAAATTATCTTCCTAATTTATAGATATTTTATTGTCCAGGTTCTAGATACATGAAGTATCAAAACCAGCAAGAACTAAAACATGTACGTGCCACTGTCCTAAAAAAATGACATTAACACACGTTATGATGACATTTACAGTAGAATAAAGTAAGGACATGAACAACAATGAAGAGCAGAACGAGAAAATGGAAATGCCAAAGCTGCTTGGTGTAATGGTCACGCAGGAGCAAAAATACTCCAGGGTGAGATTTATATGCTCTTTTGAACTTTCTGGAAGTCATATAAAAACCAGAGGAAAAAGCCAAAACACATCTAAGAAAGTCACAAATTCCATGCATTAAATTTTCTGCATTTAACTTTAGGAGACCTCCTCACTAAACAATTTGCTTCTTACTGAATAATACACGATTTTAAAAAGGTTAATAATTTTTCCAGACAATAAAAATTAAATCAGAAAATGAGAAAGTGGGAATAAAGATGCAAAAGGTATGCTACATGAAGTCACACCTGAAAGTAAGGAAGGAGACATAAAAACACAAAAAAAGTGACTGTGAGAACTCAAAATCTACTATCTATTCTTGTGCTTTTATGATGTGGGAGGGTAATGGTCATAACATCAATGCAGAAATATCAATAAATAAAGTATATAAAATGGACTCTCAGAATGTAATCACATATTAATACTTTTAGGAGAGATTAGAGGTCTGTATTTCAAGTTATAAGTATCTAAAATAAAAATTATAGTGTTTAAACAATTACCTCTCTAAAACACCAAGAATGAATCATTTCTAAAAGGTTCCATGGTTGATATTATTATAGAGCATTTAAACGTACTGCCCTATGTCCTCAAGTTTTCAGAACATATGGATTTGTAGGTTATTCCATTTGATAGGAAAAAAAGATGATGGTAGTATGACTTTACAAACTAAAAGAACTATCACATGAGCTCAAAGGTCACTGGGAATCCACACTATAAAAAGTTTAAAACGTCCTATCTTATTTGCATTACAAAAATATATTTTTTTTTTGCCCAAGGGGAAAAGGATTACACACACACACACACACACACACACCACAAGCACACGTATATAATCAGACTCTAACATTTTAGCTTATCATTTTTTCCTCCTAACACATTAATGAAAATAGCTACATAAATGGAAAGTTACTATATCCTTGAAATACAAGAAAATCTTCCTTAGGTAACAACAACAAAAAGAAACCTGTATATTCATTATGGTGTGAGAAAATATGTTGGTGAACAGGAAAATGAATCACTTCCTATTCTCTAGAATTGTGCTGTGTGGGGTATTCTATCCACACATTTAATTAAGCATAGAAATGTATTTTACACTCTGGATACTCCAGATATTCAAAGAATCCTAGACTTTCCTAGAGCAGGTCCAGTCCTGCTTCACTTGAGTACCGGAAACCTCACACTCTGAGGTGTGAAGAAAACCTTTCCTTGTGCTCCTCCATTCACACTTGCACAGTGAAATAAAATTATCATTTTATTTCAATTATGAACCTCAAAGTATGTTTTAATCAATGTAACTTTAATTGCACTGACAACAAACAAATTAACTCTGTATATTAAATTAAGCCTCACATATTATCTTTTATTTATTGCTCTGAAAGTACTGAAGGAAACACTTGGGAGAAAGAATCCATCCTACTCACAAATCCAGGAATCTCGCATGCTGTCTCTCGGTTGTTCTGTTCTGGGTCACAGTAGATTCGCAACTTCTGGACATCAAACTAGGAACATAAACCCCATCAGGTTAAAATTGAGGCCCAAGCTAATTGCTTCGTAAGAGCGACCCAACTACATGAGCAGTCATGGAAGGCTTAAATCACAGCACCTAGCTAAAAAATAGTAATGTGAAATTTAAATACCTAACATACAGTTTAAAGATGTGATGCAACATAATTCATAAGGAAAACTCTAGCACCAAAAACAAAACTTTAATTTCCTTCGGAAACCCACTGGAGCTTTTTTAGTATCTCTATATTAAGAGCTAGCCTAGAGAGCATTTCCTAGGACACTTAAAAGCTTTCCCAGGCCTTCTGTGTTTATCCTAAATGTCTCCAACATTTCTGATTACAAAAGAGTGAGTTTAAGAAGTCATCTTTAGTTTCAGAGATTTAGTTGCTGGCATGGAGTGTTGTGTGATGAGTAGTCCAAGCACCTGTTGCTATTTAAATATTTACTCTGACATGTAACATTAATATATAGAGAGCATGGTGTAATTTGAATATGACAGTCTTCCCTTAATAGAAACAGAGTGGGAAAGTACACGTTTTCAAATAAGGGATTGTCCAAGAAATGGCTATCTTTTTATATACACATTTCTCAACCCACACAGATACTCCACTTTTTAAAAAATATAAAAAAGTAACAGTTTTAAGAATCCTGAAATGCATTAATCTGATCGTAACCTCACAGCTGCAGAGAAATTTTATACCTCCCGACTCACAGCTCTAATCACAGTCTCTTTTCCAAGTTATTATTTAATCTATGCTTCTCCTGGGAAATATGAAATTAATGTTTCATAAGAATGTAGATTTCTACCCTGAACCCAGGGGAAAAGTTTTCTAAGAATTCCTATATATTGGGCGCCTGGGTGGCTCAGTTGGTTAAGCGACTGCCTTCGGCTCAGGTCATGATCCTGGAGTCCCTGGATCGAGTCCCACGTCGGGCTCCCTGCTCGGCAGGGAGTCTGCTTCTCCCTCTGACCCTCCCCTCTCTCATTCTCTCTCTCAAATAAATAAATAAAATCTTTAAAAAAAAAAAAAAGAATTCCTATATATTAAGTCTAACTTTGCATTTTCATACACACAAACACACAATTCCACTAATAAACTGATCACATTTTGTTTAAGTGTCTTAAAGGAATTAATAATTAAGTTAAATACAGTTAAATGTGATAAATACTATCACAAAGGATAGCAAAAGCTCACTTTATACAATGCAAAAAGCAAATCATTTTTTATCCACCTGAACGGTTTCTTCTTTCCCAGAATACTTTCCGATTTGAGTTTGCCCGCTGATGAAGATCCCTAAAACTGGATGTAATGGCTTGTTTTCAATTTGTTGATCATCAATATATAGAGTCACATCTTGTTCTGCTACTAAGAGACGAATTTGATGCCAGCCTTCATCAAATAATATCTACAGGAAGAAAGTATGGAAGATTCATAAGTAAAATTCCCAACAATCTTTCTTTTTCTTTGTTCCCATTCCTTTGCTGCCAACCATAAATCCACACCACACAGACTGGTTGTATTATATACTAATTCACCCTGATCCAAGCTGGGTCTCAAATTCTACCCACCAATTAATTTATGAAGCCATACTTTCCATTACATATCCATTACATGTAAGTAGATGTATCAAACAATTTATTGAAACAACTCCCTCAAGGTCACAAATAGATTCCTAATCTCTGAATCCAAGTGGCTTCTCCTATTCCTCATCCTATTCATTGCAACTTTAGATCCTTAACTAGTCCATCTTCCTTGATATTCTCATTCAACTTCCATGACTGAAACCATCTTGATCATCTTCATTTCTTCTTCTCCAATTGCTCATTCTCTATTTCTTCAAGGGCTTCTCTTCCTCACCTGCCTTTTGATGAGGTCATTAACCCACGGATCTGTCACTGACCTTTTTCATTCTCCCCTTTGATTATCTTATCTAATCTTACAGGTCAATATTACCTCTATAGAATATCTCCCATATCTACAAGAGCCTGAACCTCTTTCCTACATATGAGATCTATAATTCTAATACTAGCTAGTATAGTTTTACCAGGATATTTCACAATCAGCCTGAGGGAGAGTGTAGCAAAATGAACTTGAACTATCCCCAAAACTTTCTTCCTCTCAGTTTTCCTTGAATAATAATATCCTCAGTTTCTAAACTGCAATAAGTGTGTTTACCTCTTGCCTTTCCCTCAGTTGCAATAAGAACCAGATGCAAAGTTCTACCAAATATGTCTCTTAAATGACTCAAATTCACTTCACCATTTCAAACATTTTCATTGCCATAGTTTATGTTCATGGATATCTTGCCTTATCTGAATAATTTCGAACATATCTCTAACTCTTCCCTCTCTAAGCCATCCTTCATACCTCCACTACAATTAATCTCTCTCACTAGAATTCTGTCAGAGAAGATGCCATCTTATTAATTTCTGGATTCCCAGGCCTAGAGCAATTTCAGGATACAGATGAAAATATTTTTTATGAAAGAAAAAGGAGAAGGAGAAGAGAGAGCAGCTTTGACCATGACACACCTATGATTCAAGACTTTTTGATGAAATCCTGTCATCCACTGGATGAAGCCCAAAACCCTTTGTATGCTTTCCAGATCCCCACAAATTGAACTTGCACCTTGTTAGCTTTTTCTTTCATGTATCTTATACTCCAGACACAGGGGACACCACTTCCTCTTCTTTAAATAAAAACCCCGCATTTTACTACACATGACTACTCAGTACTGAACCACTGACTTACATGTCCTTCGCTCTCTTCATCAAAATCCTATCTTCTTCCAGGTCCAGCCCAAAAAGCATCTCATTAATAAGACTTGCCTACATATTGTGTTAGAATCTACTTTTACCCCTACACTCCATTAATACCTGTACTTCTGTTAGATACCAGAGGCCTTCACTCTTCCATTATAAATAAGTTCCTTGAAGGTGTGAAACAGGCCTTACTCATTTGTGATTTCTTACAGAACCTAGCATATTGACTTTAATAAAAATGGCAGCCAAATTTTTAAGAAATTTAATCTGCTTACCAAATAAATTATACAGGTGGCATAATTTCATATACAACCTTGTACATTTCCTAAATTATATACTCTTAGACTATAATTATAATAATGATCAAAACATAACTTTCTATCACTGCATCTGTATTCTGAACACATTTGACTTGAAAAATACACTTTTATCTTTAGTTTATCAATTTTACTAAATATAGGCTCCTTTGGGGAAAACAAAGCATTCTCCTAATAAATGGGAATTCTGCACTCATTATCTACCTGTATTTAAGGTTCTAACAAATGTCTTTATCTCAGTATCTTATAGGACATGGCAGTGTAAGATGGACCAACATGACTTTGAAACTGATGAGACTTAACTTCAATTCCTGATGCCACCACTTACTAGCTGTGTTACTTTGAGATGGAACTTAATATACTTTAAACTTTTTTTTTTTTTTTTGGTCTGTACAGTGAGAGCAATGGCTTCTGCGTTGGGTGGATATTATAATTAAATGTTTCTGGCATCTAATAGCAGGTACTCAAAAAATGTAAGGTCCCCCCACTCCTTAATCCCATCTAAGAAACAACTTTCCTTCATTTGTTGTTGTTTTTTTTTTTTTTTTAAGATTTTATTTATTTATTTGAGAGGGAGAGAATGAGAGACAGAGAGCACGAGAGGGAAGAGGGCAGAGGGAGAAGCAGACCCCCTGCTGAGCAGGGAGCCCGATGTGGGACTCGATCCCGGGACTCCAGGATCATAACCTGAGCTGAAGACAGTCGCTTAACCAACTGAGCCACCCAGGCGCCCCTTTCATTTGTTGCTTTTATTCAATAAAGCAACATTAAACTATGAAGTCAGTATCTTTTCAGCCATGTTAAAATTATGGCTCTCTTCCTCCAACACACACAAACCTGGTGGTGATTCCCCCAGCAATACCATCATAATCATACCCAGGCATTTTTACCTTAACTTGAGAGTCAGCAAAAGTGACCACTTGTGAGCCATTAATTATGCTGGTTGTTATAAATAGTAACGTTTTATCCACACCATTTAAGGTAACAGCTATTTGTGGCCTTCCATCAATGGTTAAAATTCTCCATAGATCCCACATTTTCTTGACCTTAAATCTCTGAGTGGAGACAAATACATATGATGGAGGAAGACCTTCAGGGAAAACATTGCTAGAAAAAGAAGAATGTGCATAAGCTTAAAGAATTCTCAACATGTCTATAGACATATATAAAAAAAAGTTTATATCAACACATAACATATACCTTGTGAATTCTGATAAGTCAACTTTTGATGTCACTTCATATCCTTTTATCTTTGTTGGTGAAAGCATGATTCTTTTCTTAACCTTTTTCTTTACACCCAAGCCTAAAAGAATATCAAACCCTTTCTCATCACGAGCTGCCACTGGAATTCGTGTTGGACAGACAGATTCTATAAATCCAAAGCAAAAGCAGTAAACATTGATTAATCATGGATTACTTCAACAAGAAAATGAGAAATATTAGAGAAAATAATTATAAAATCTATATATGCACACAAATGCATATAAATGGATGTAAATGCATTTTGAGAAAATGTGCAGGAGTGTTTCTGACATTTGAAGTCTCAAATGTTATTTTCCCCCTAAAAGGGGATAAAAGTAAAACAGAATTAGAAGAGAAACATTTGTTAATAGATTGCTTTAAGAACACTATGCTGACATTTATAAATCACTATTTTGAACGTTGGGCAACTTAATACCTGTGGGGT